AAAATTTATTCTAATAATCCCACATTTGGCCGGTTCGCTGGTAATAATCCCACCTTTGGCCGGTTCGCTGCTAATAATCCCACCTTTTGATTATTACCTAATAATCCCACCTTTGGGGGATATACTCTTCTAATGATCCCTTATGACCGGTACCCTGTTGTTTGGGTAAGTTAGTTTTTTTTTTTTTATATTTTTTTTTTAATTCCTTGGCCACGAAACAGTGCATCACCCACCTTCCCCAACCACCAGGCACCAACATCAGCAATTAACCAATTCAACCCCTCATACCACGCAATCCCTTTGAACTCGCTACACCTTGCTGACTCACCAACAGTCACGCCACCAGCATCTACACCTCCTTTTCACCAGCAAACCAGCACCCACGCAATTCATCCAATCAACTCACAATCCCTACACTCCAACCCGCCACCAATCAACAGCAATTCGACCTCCAAATCATTGCAATCAGCATTTCGGCCACCTACAATCATGATTCCGGCCTCCATTTGAGTAATTTGACACCAATAACTTCAATTGATACTCCAATTTGAAGACCTAAGAGGCACCTTTGTTGGGGTGGGAATTTTCGTGGTGGGGAGGGCTGGGGTGGCATTTTTCAGGGCTTAGGGAAGGTTGGGGCTCGGCGTTTCGGGGTGTGGGAAGGCTGAAATGAATCAATTTGGGGTAAGAATAGGTTGCGGATCGGATGGGGTGTTTCGAGGTTGCGGGTGGCTGGGATAGGCTGTTTCAAGGGTGGGCGTGGCTGGGGTTTTGTGTTTCGGGGGTGGGGTGGTTGGGGTGGGTTGTTTCAAGGATGGGCATGGCTGGCTCTATTGTTTCGGGTTTGTGAGTGGGGGTGGCTGGTTGTGGGGGGGTGGGCTGCCTAACCGGGAAAAATGGAGGAAGGAGAGGAAAACCATAAGGAAGAAGGAAAGGGGAAAAAAAAATTTAAAATTTTTTTTTTTTTAAAGAAATAAAAAAAAATATTTCGACGAATCACAAAGTGACACATGGCATGTTAACCCATTATACCGGTTACTAACAAGTTAGGGACTATTAAAAAGAGAATGCCCCATAAAGGTGAGATTATAAGCAGCGAACCGGCCAAAGGTGGGTTTATTAGAATCAATTTTTCCTTTATTTTATATTTTTATTTTTTAAGAAATATAAAATTATATTTATTATTATTATAATTAAAAAAAAAAACAGCCACCCCTTAATCAAGGCGCTCAGCTCTCCGGCGACCTCCAGCCGGCGCACTAGCCACCTACACTGCGCTTAGCTCTCCGACGACCCCACTACCCCTTGCCGGGCATCCCTACCTCTTCCCTCCCCCCTTCCCGACTCCTACATCCGTACCTCCTCCCTCTCCCCTTCCCGACTCCCACTCATCACAAAAAACCCACAATATCCTCCTCTTTCACTACCGAAAACCTCCAACTGCCGCTTACACCATCCCCAAAACCCTAAAGGCTAGGGTTTCGGGATGGGGAAGGGATGGTTAAGGATTTCAAATTTTCAGGGACGGAGGAGGGGGTAGTTTCGTGGTTTTTTGTGGGGGTGGGAGGGGATTTCGTTGTTGGTGGTTTGGAGAAGGGGGAGGACGACGGCAAGGTAGGGCCGACAAGGTGGCTGGGTTGGCGCCGCCGGGTTTGGGGGAGAGGAGGGACTGCTGGTGGTGAGGGAGGAGGGGTTGCTGGTGGTTATTATGGGATGGTTTTTTTTAATTATTTTTTTTTTGAATGATTTTTAAAATTATTTTAATTGTTAATTAATTGTGGTTAAATTTTTAATTAGCAATTAATTAATTTCTTAATTGAATTTATCAAAAAAAAGTTAACCGGTTATTTAGGTTGTAGGTTAAATATCTCGCTTAAAGTGGATGCCTCTTAAAGTTTGTATTATTCTGAAAAAATCAAAAGTTTGACTTGTTTTTAACGGATTGGTGAAATTTTGTATTATTTTTGACAATTTTTCCTATTATAAAAGTGCAAAAGTACCATATTAAAATTTTTAAAAATCATTACAAATTATATCGACAAAAGTTCCTTTTTAGAAACATGACTTCTTACTTCTTAGCAACAGTCTTAAGCTTGGCCTGCTGTGCCATTTTCTCTGCTGCAATTGTAGGAGATATTAATTCTTCCTCTTCCTTCTTTGCCATTTTTTTTGCTGCAATTGTAGCACATGTATTTGTCTGTTTGAGTTTCATTTGCTGCTGCAACTTCATCTCTTTTTTTCCACACATGTGTAGGTTAATGCTGGTTGGCCTCATCTCTGTATAATTTACGGGCTTATGGGGTGTTGGTTAGGAAAGAATTTGTCCTAAGTTATGACGATCTAGATGGATGTGACTATCGTGTCACGGAAAAGAGTGGAGGAGATCCCGTATACGTATTGCAATATTGCATGCGTAATAGGGGTTTTAGACCTCGGGATGAAAATATTAACCCGTTTTACAATAATTTAACATACAACCGCCTTTTGGAGAATTTGTATTGACAAAAATGTGTTGTAATACGAATATAATTACATGAAATTATATATGTATCAACAAATAACGTGAAATTATTTATAAAATAAAAAATTAGCTATAACTACGTAAATATCACGAAGTACAATCTGACACATAATTATGTGTATTGATAAATTACTTAAAAAAATGTTTATCATCATTCCATGTTATAAAATTTAAAGTTAAACAAATTATTATTTCTTCATATTGTAAGTATTTCAAATAATAATTTTTTATTAAAAGAGATACATCATTCAAAGATGCTTTCAACAAATCCCTGTACATGAACCAGTAACATATTAACAAGTTACTATTGAATTTCAGACATGCTGGGATGATATGATTGTCAGATACAAGCTTGAAAAGAATGAATGGTTCAAAAGGTTATATAATTTGAGGGAGAAATGATGTACGACTTTGAGTAAGGACTTCTTTTCTGCTAGTATCTTATCTTCACAAAGAAGTGAAAGTACGAATAATACAGTGGGATTTAAAGCAAACAAAAACACAAGCCTAACAGACTTCTTCAAAATATTCACTCAAATAGTATGCAGGTTGAGAAAAAACGAGTCTGATGCTGATTTCAAAAGTTCAAATTCTAAGCCAAGTTTAAGTTTTCCAATTTTGGATTACTGAGACATGCATCAGAAGTCTATACACAGACAATATTAAGATATTTTGAAACATAATACATGTACTCAATTGGGTGCTTAACCTCTCTTCATTCTATAATAGGAAATTTTTATTTTTATGAGGTACAGATTGAGTATGATGAATCAAGTAGGCAGAAGATTACATATAACAGTGGTGAAAATACAATAGCATGTTCTTGTAAGAATTTTGAAGAGGTTGGTTGGTTGTGTTATCACTGTTTAAAGATTTTGCAGCACATAAATATAGCACATAAATTAAGGATTGCAATTACAAATAAATATTTCAATTGAAGGAAAATTCAATCTGTTTGATTCCGAATTAAATGCTTCTTTTAAAGAAAGTTGGTATCCACTGACGCTAAGAATCGGATTTACAAGGTTGCGTCTCTTCAGACAAATTCAACCAAAAGTGGAATTACATGAAAGGTGATAATATGATTAATAGATTTGCGTATCTTTTTCCAGCACAACTCGCTCTCTCTTTGTTCAAGCTTAAGAAGGTGAAAAAAATCAAGATTTATGAACTTAAATTCATTTATAATCTTAAAACTTTTTCTTTTGTTAACCCAATTAGGTTGGAACTCGTGCGATGTAAGTTTATAAAAAATCTATTTTTATAATTTGTACATTTAAGAATTATGCACCTTGTACAAAAATATTTGTAATTTTAAAATTTTAGATTTTCATCAAAATTATGATATAATACCTGTTTAATGTCGCCTAATACATATTTCAATGTAGGAGTGCATTTATTAGTGTGCTATTTACAATTGTTTTATTTTTTTAGGATAAATTGATAGGTGGTAGTTGTAATGTAGAATTTTCTAATATTTAAATATCAAAATTGTTAAATATGGTACCTGCACACACACACACACACATCAAAAATGACATCATCCTTGCATTTAGGCGGGAAAAAAATTATTGTGAGAATGTCATGTGGACAGTGATAACGTCAGCAACGTTTTATTTTAGCAATAGTTAATAGATAATTGTCAATCCAAAGGATCTTGAATTTTGGTGGGCTAAGGGTATTTGGGGCCTTGTGAATTGGATGTAAGTGAACTTGTAGTTGACTTTTGAGCTTTTGCTTGATTTTAGATGAGATCGTGTTGGAGGTTATGTTGCATCATTACTTTTCTACAATTGCAAATGTGTATGGTTATATGATATAATGATATAATATGTGTTGGTTTATTATTTGGAGTCTGCTTTTATATGTCACCTCACAAAAACGAATTAAGAATATCTTTTATATTCAGGCATATATATGTTGTATGTGCTAAACCTGCACAGATCCCATAGTTTGATTGAAACATATTAATGTTCTACAACAAGGTTGCAAGTTGATGATATTGGAAGAAAAACAGATATCATTTTGTGCAAACTCTCATGTTTGATGGAGTTGACGACTACTCAAATCAAAATGCAGACATGATTGGTCTGACTTCAATCGAACAGGAGTAAGTTCTATTTTTTGCCTTTTGAGCTAGCTATAGAGGGTACATTATTCTATTCCTGCACTAAAAAGAGACTTTTTTTAATGATAAGAATGATACTACTCATACCAGGACATCAATTTCTTACAATTTAATTCTTTCATTATTTAATTTTTATTTTTTCCATCCAATTCTCTTCTTTTCTCATTTGTTATCCAAATGAAAGACAATATATCCCTCTATTTCCCTTTCCTTCCATTCTCTCCATTTCCTCTAATCCAAAAAAATGTGTAAAAGGACAAAATTTAGGCATTTTGTCACTCATAAAACATAATCACTCCAGTTAAGATAGAATCAAAATCACTTAAAATAGTGACTCGTTCGTCTTCTTTCTTTTTTTTTTTCTTTTTTTTTTCAGGGAATGGTGACTTATTCATCACTCACCTCCTATAATGCTTTCGAATTTCCATCGTAGACGTATCATTTTAAAATGCTTTAAATTTTGGAAAAAAAAAACAACGGACAGCAGAGCAGCAAGAATGCAAATATGCAATGCAGCACCAAAACCCTCAGCAGCAACCTCTTAATCAACCACCAGTTCCAAACCATTAATGCCTTCACCACTATTGTTATTTTCCAGTTCTAAAAGCGAAATCCCCCTCAACCTTCCAATATATCAACTGGTATGAAATTATGGCTTCAGTGAAAAGCCAAAACTTTTACAATCCATACATGACCATTATGTATTGGCCAGTATAACCTACAACACATATACAGACAAAATAATGACTAAATCTATCTTGTATCAACCGAGACCAATTACAAGACACCACAGCAAAATACACTCCTGCAAATCTGCAATTGCCGACTAAAAGGTCCAAAACAGTGATAACAACTATAATTATGATGAAAACCCGTCTCACAAGTCACAACCTCCAGAGAGGAGCATTCCACTTCGAAATGCAAAAAAAACCCAACAAGAGAAAGATAATGAAGGTTTACCAAACTATAGTTTAAAATCAAAAGTACTTACTCCTATACTGACAGAATGCATAATCCACTATCAATCAAGGCATAAACTACCAAACACATTCACTATGTAATACACGGCCCTGCAAGCAACAGCAGCCTGAGGACAAGAAGCTAAACTGGCAACGCTGAGCAGCATGCACAATCTCCCTGTCCTATACCTCTGCCCTTTTGAAAACTGTACATTTAAAAAGTATATAATGCTGAAATAAACTAGTCATGTTATGCTATCTTCCTCTCGTGCTCACTGTCCCACTGAAAACTTGTTAAACAGTGAGCTGATAACTTGGGCTCCAAGATAACCCCAAATTCTTCGTCATCATACTGAGATTCGAGACTGGAGTTTAAAAATTTCTTAATACTGTTAAGCTGATCAGAAGATGGCTTAACTTGAGTGCTATCAACAGCATAGTCCTCAGTACCAATCATAAGACCCAATGCCACATGAGGATTCAGATTCAGACTGGCCACAGAATCCAACATATCCTTCTTTACAACCACTTGAAGTAGACAAGAAAGTAGATACCGATAAGTGACAGAAGAAATATTGACACCCTGTGATCAGACAAAAGATATATTTAGGAATCCCACATCACAGTGAAAATGCAATTGCCAATATGACATGTTACATACATCAAAACATGTAAGCTAGTTAATATCATATGCAGCCTTATCCTTTTGCCTCATGGATTTGTCTTGACATTAGACAACAGCACTTTCTTTTCAAAAATTACTACGGAGTACATAAAGCATGAAAAGTGATTTAATACAGATTACAGATCCGTCTATTGTAAAATATTCCAGTGTTCCACAATCCACATGAACAACATCAAAGTTCTTCATAGCTATGACATAATCCTGAATATCTGAATATGTAAGAAGTTCTCTTACATTATTTTTTTCCAACTGCAACGGGATACAGGATCATTATGGGCACCACCAGCAAACCTAGGAGCTTATGAATGACCATAGTGTTCAAATGAGATTTAACAAGACAAAGTATGTCCTTAATGTAGTAAAGGTCGTCCAAGAACTTATCTATAAAGACTATAATAGATATCAAGTCTGTCCTCTTACCAGAAAAGTAATTGTTCCTGTGTCCGAACAAACTAACATCCCCTATTATCCCACATAAAATAAAATAAAATTACATCCAACAGCCTGTGAATGATTATAAATCTAATATACACAGAAAAAGAATATACCCCAATTTGAGAACCAAGTCAGAGAAGTACTCGATACTGGAGGTGTTGTCAGAAATGATAGATCATATCATCACTAACTGCATGGACTGTTGCAAAATATTAAAATCTTCATTTATATGAACTTCATTCCCCAGGAAAGAGAGGAGAACGGAAAAAGGGAAAAAAAATTGTACCATTATATGCTTAGAGTAAGAGAATGTATGGCTGTCTAAATGATCTTCTCCCCATGGTGTGCAAATTTAAGGGCTTAAGTATATAGAGGAATTATGTAAAAGCACCCTGCAGTAAAAACCATGAACAAATTTGTTACAAGAATCAGTATTGTCTCATCACCAATCTATAATAAATAGTCGACCACACAAAAAGTATATAACAGGTAAATAAGGAACTAAAAGAAGTCCTTGTAATAGACTAACATAAGGAGGGGCAATATTGGTAGTCTAGTGTTATTAGGTTAGTAGTTTTTACCCTTAGTATAAATAAAGAGAGGGAAGAAAGAAGAAGGTAGGCAGCATCTTGGTGTAAACCCATGAGAGAGTTATGGCCTAAAGCCGTTGATAGAGAGTTGTGAGCTAAAATCACTTGGAGCTTGATAGGCTAAACCTATCTTCTGTGTAATTCGTGTTCTGTTAATTAAAGCATCAATCTTTCTTCCACAACTTGAACCTTCTCTTCGAGGCCATTTAGCCGTTGTGATACAGAGGTAACCATGGTTGTAGACCGTAACACTCTAATACCAACTGTAATGGACTGATTTTCTGATTGTAAATATTATTAAATTACTAAGGATTAATAAAGGTGAAAGCTTTATATTTTGATTGATAATGGAAAAAGGATTACAAAAGATTGGTTTAGCCTATCAAGCTCCAAGTGAGTTTAGCTCACAACTCTCTATCAATGGCTTTAGGCCATAACTCTCTCATGGGTTTACACCAAAATTCTGCCTACCTCCTTTCTTCCCTCTATTTATACTAAGGCTAAACACTACTAACCTAATAAAACTAGACTTCCCAAAGTGCCCCTGCTAAAGTTAGTCTATTACAGTCCTCTCACACGCCATAACAAAGTTTAAAAGCCACATTTATTGCTTCAACCAGACAAGAGAACATATAAGATAATGAACAACACACCTATATGAGCATGTAGCTCACAGATTTTGATAAAAAGGGAATCAAAATTTATTTGAATGTATTTTTCATTTCAATTAAAAAGAGCATAATATTCCTATAAGTAGTATTTACCTCTTGGACTTTTAGAGAAGACAGATGGTGTCTTTGTTCTGCACTTCTGCTTCCCACTCACATCCCTGATTCAGATTTAAAGCAAGGTAAGCCACAAGATCCAAAGCATATCAGTCTCTCTGTTGTATCTGGATTCTATCAATTTCAACAACTACTCGTGCCGATAAGCATTATTAATGAAGGTAAGATTGCCTAAACAAGGCTAGGAAATAAAAGATTTTGACCTCATAAATGACACAGTACAAAGATATATCACTGACATGAAACTCGTACTCATGTGTGATGATGTTGCTGATATGCCAACTGCTAATGCAGTAGTCAGTGTCATACAAAAGACAAACATATAACTGATTAAAAAATTAAGGAGTACCAGTAATGAGGTCAGTGTTAGAAGTAAAATGGGAATCGGAGTTGGAAAATGTTAACTACAATGCCTCTAAGAGAAAAAAATGAGGAAAAGACATACATGCCATGCCCACACAGCAAGAGGAGGTAATGAGAGCTAAGGGAAACCAAATGCATGTGAATTATAGAAGATCCTTACCAAATGCATGTTCACTGTGTAGATTTTGTATCATTATGCTCAGGTACTGAAGCACCTTTGCCTCAAGCCTGTCATTGGTATCCCTACTAATCTTGAGCATGCGGATGAACTCAGCTAACACTTGATGTTCCATGAAACATCTGGGAATTTTTTTTTTTTTTTTGAAATTATTAGAACAGGTATCATAATGCATATTACCAAAAAAAACATTTAAGAAACAAAAAGGACAAACTCTTACTCGAAGATTGATGGGTCATGCCTATCACCATACGTAAATTTTTCTACAATAGTTTGAAAATGTCCACAACTGTTTCCTGGAAAAAATTAATATACAATATCAGACTATTGTCTCCAAAGCCACAGTATCTGTGACATTAAATCATAGTGTTAAGTACAAAATCTAATAGTTCAACAGAGAACCGTCAAACAGAAGCAGTGCGAGATGTATACCCTATTAAATGTATGAACGACTTCAATTCCCTGCAATTCATTGATGATATACCTGAGAACCAAGGTTCAAAAAAGACAATTAGATTTACTGTAAATGACTAATCAAGAATTCAAGAGAAAGATGGATGCATTACTCCAGAAAATACTCAAGAAGTCATTACAGCACTTTTAAATATAAAAAGTTTAGCTTTATATGCTGTACAAGTGTACATCATAATGTCACCTCAGATTTTTAAAATTTTCGCGGTATTTGATAAGTTGTAGCAAACAAGTATATTTATACAACCTATTCTCAAGGACGAAAAATAACAAATGCAAAAAACCTGTTGAAAGAAGCCAAAACAAAGAATCTACTACCTCCGTTTCATATTTTTTGCAACTTTAGAATATTTTATATCTCACAAATAATACCCCAAAGTTGCAAAAAATATGAAACAGAGGTAGTAGCTATTTGCAGAACGGGCAACATTACTGTTACATTTTTTTTATCTAACATCCCAAACTCCATGTAACTGCCTGAAAGGTTGAAATAAGTGACTGTACATTGGTAAGTTCTAACCCAGAGTCAACCTTCCAGCTTAATCAGCAAACCTCTATTTACCACTCACCAAACAATCAGCCATAATTTCATAAATCATTTTGGAAAATTTATTGCCTCTCTACAAATAATTTTTTAACAGATAAAGATACACTAATACAAGGAAAAAAAAATACGAGGTAACAAAAGTATGCCAAGCTCAAGCAAAAAAGCGGAGAAGAAAGAAAATTCTTATCACACCCAACAAAAGCCTTGTGAGTGTGGAAATAAGCTAAAAGAAATAACCAGTCCAAAAAGGCTTCCAAAGAGGAAAATAGACCACAGAACTCCTATTATCCATTTCCAATCAAATCATCCATATAGATAGCTCAACAAAAAATGTTCTCCTCATATCTCTTAAACCTCATATATACAGGTAGAGGTGGCCAGTGGGCCGGGTTGGACCCAGCCCACCCTAACTCGCACGGCTGGTGGGTCACGTGGGTCCGACCCGGTTTCAGCCCGGCACAGCTCGGATTTAATCCGGGTTGTGTCGTGGGTCCAAAATTTTCGACACAACCCATTTCAACCCAGCTCAGTTTAACCCGTTTGATTCGACCCAAATCGCACAACCCGTTTTGACTCATTTAATTCGACACACCTACCCCGTGAACCCACCTAACCCGACCCACCTGGCACAACCCAGCCCGCACGGCCCACCCGCACGAATGACCCACCCAACCCGCACGAGCCAACCCACCTAACCCGCACGCATGACCCACCCAACCCGCACGCATGACCCACCCAACCCGCACGGCCGGCACAACCCGCACGGCCCGCACAACCCGCACGGCCCGCACAGCCCGCACAATTCGCACGACCCGCACGGCCCGCACGGCCTAACATCCATTTTAAAAAAAAAAACGACTAGTTTTTTGTATCTAACGGCTAGTTTTTTAAGTGTATGATCATCCATTCTATTTTTCCTATAAATACCAATTCCATTTCACTCAAATTTCCACACAAATTCAAGCTTTCTTTCTCTCTTACTTAAAAATTCTTATTGTTCTCAAATTCTCAAGTGTTATATAGAGTTATATTTTTGTTAAAAAAAATCTCCTTAATATTATTATTAGTATTCTTAAGATTCTAAAAAAAAAAAGTTCTTCTCCATATTATAATTAGTAATCATACAAAAAAAAAATGAGCTCAAGAGGAGGAATGGGAAGGAGTCAAAGTGGTGGTCGAAGTGGTAGCCAAAGGAGTGGTGGTGCAAATTTTTCGTATGAAATTAATACGGAAAATTTAAACCAATTTGTCAATGAATATGGAGATTATGGTTTAGGAGATAGGCAAAATATTCAAACGTCTCCACCACAACATTTCTCCCACGAGTCCCACCAATCATCAAGTTCAACTATGCCACCTCCATCGCAACCAACATCTCAACCTTCATCTCAAGGTAATTTCTAATTAAATTTTTATTGTTATGAATATTTAAAAAAACTATTATTAATGATTATAAAGTTAGTTTAGTTTCCAATTTTCTATGATTTACAATTAGTTAATTACCATGAAAAATGCGTTTAAATAAGTATAATTAAAATATTTAAAATTTAAAAGCTTATTTTCATGAATAGCATTTAAAAATTAATTTTAATAATTTGATTTATGAAAGGTGGTGGCGGTGAAAGTAGAGGTCGAGCACATTTTTCTTGGGTGTGGAAACATTTTGAACGAGTTGAGGTCACACCCCCGGGATGGCAACCTGGTCAACCAAAGAGGTTCACGTGTACATGCCTAGTTTGCAAGGCGCTAGGTGCAAATGTCAAGTCATATAATTGGAAAACGGGAGATGGAACCGGAACCTTGAGTCGGCATTTGCAAAATAAACACGACTTGTTCGAAAATGGCCCCCGTCCTTCGGGGGGTGGCGTCCAAACACAATTGGGTGGATACATGAACCAACCCGGCGGAGGTACACCTTTCATTTATAATAAAGATAGAATGATTGATGAAATGAGTACTTTAGTTATTGCTAATGAATACCCTTTTAGTTACGGTGAAAATGCAAACGTTGAGCATTTTAATAAAGTTGCATTACAACCTGCATTTACTCGTGTCCCCCGAAATACCCTAAGACGTTATACACAAACTTCTTATTATAAGTATAGGAGTGGTTTGATTGAATTATTTCGTACTTTTGATGGTCGTGTTAGTTTTACAAGTGATACATGGACTTCTAGTTTTGGCGAACCTTTTCTTTGCATTACTGCTCATTGGGTGGATGATGATTGGTTTATTCAAAAACGTATACTATGTTTTCAAGCTATGGAAGAAAGGCATACCGGTTTTAACATCAAAGTTCGTATTTTGGATTGTTTAAAAGAATTTCACTTGAATAATAAAGTTTTTTCTTTGTCTCTTGATAATGCAACTGCAAACACAAAGTGTATTGACTATTTGAAAAATGACTCCGAGTTGAATTTGTTGTTGGGTGGTAGTCTCTTGCATGTTAGATGTTGTGCTCATATTTTGAATTTGTCTGTTCAAGAGGGTCTCGCTGAGTTGCAACCATTGCTAAACCCAATTAGAACAGTTATAAAATGGATTAGGATTACTCAGTCAGTTAGAAGAAAGTACATAGCTATGTGTAAAGAGAGAGGTCTTAAGAAAAGACAATGGTCTATTGATACCCCTACCCGTTGGAATTCTACTTTCAAGTTGTTGAGTGATGCTATAAAGTATCGTGATATTTTGACCCAACTTTACAATGAGACTCGTGTTGATCCTACTGAGTTAATAACCGAAAGTCATTTGACTAATGCTTCTTTTGTTCGTGATGTTTTAAATGCTTTTGATAGTGCAACTCATATTTTCTCTTATATTTATGAGCCTAACGTTCATTTAGTCATAATTGAGTGTGTTAAAGTTGTTCACACCATCGAAGAGCATATGAAGATTGATGGACTTCGTCCCGTTCTTGATAGCATGAAACGTAAGTGGCATACTTATTTTAGTGAATTTCCAATCATTTATGGAATTGCTGCTATTCTTGACCCCGGTGTCAAAGCTGAAGGTTTGGAAAATCTTTTAGAATTTTATTATACAAGTTTAAGTATCGATTATGATGTTAGTGAATATATTAACAAATGCAAATCTGTTTTGGGAGACCTTTATGATCATTATGCATCTATTTATGGTTTTGATTTGGCAACACCAACTACTACTAGCACTTCCGATTCTAGATTTGGTTTTCTTGATAAAGTTATGAAAAAAAAACACAAAGCATCTACATCATTCTCATCATCATCTTCTTCAACACTTGCTATTAATGATTATTTGTCATATCAACATGAGACCAACAACAACTTTCAAATTATAAAATGGTGGCAAGAACATAAAAAAAGTTTTCCTATATTGGCGAGAATTGCAAAAGATATACTTGCAGTTCCCTCTTCATCTGTTGCTTCCGAGTCTGCTTTTAGTGCAGGTAGAAGAGTGTTAGATGAAAAAAGATCTCGCTTAACTCCGGAAAGCATTCAAATTTGTGTTTGTAAGAAAGATTGGGATCAAGCTGAAAGAAGAACTCAAGGTTTAAAGGAAGACGAAGACGATGAAGATGATCCTGTGATGATATTGGAGTCGTCAACGGATGATGCAGCTTCCGGGGATGATGATGCAACAAACATGGGTGGCTAGAAAAGTCTAAATCAGGTACGCTAAGAACTACGTGGGCTTTGATTCTTTCGGGATACGTAGGCAACTTATTTTTCGAAAATTACAATTTAATTGCAAAATTAAATTTTAGTTTTCTAAAGATAGGTCCAAGCCCCCCCCCCCAAATTTCAAAAGAAGTACAATATAAGAACTACGCTGGCTTTGATTCCTTATTTTATAATATAAGGATACGTAGGCATCTTAATTAAGAGCAAGCCATCAAATTGTTAATTTTGTAAAAATTAAAACACCACACAACCCACCCGACCCTAACCCACGAACCCACCCGACCCTAACCCACAAACCCACCCGACCCTAACCCACTAACCCACCCGACCCTAACCCACCTAACCCACAAACCCACCCGACCCTAACCCACTAACCCACCCTTCGACCCACCCTAACTCACTAACCCACCTTGACCCGTCTAACCCACGAACCTAGCTCGACCCACCCATGACCCGTCTAACCCACAAACCCAGCTCGACCCACCCACGATCCGTCTAACCCACAAACCCAGCTCGACCCACCCACGACTCGTCTAACCCACGAACCTAACCCTGGTGTGTCCAACTTCTCCAACCCAACCCACGACCCGGCCCACCCTACCCTACGTGTGTCGTGCCGTGTGTCATGAAACCCCAACCCGCGACCCACCTAACCCTAACCCAGCTCGCACGACTCGCACGGTGGACACCTCTAATACAGGATAACCCCTTAGATGAAAAAAAAAAAAAAAAAAAAAAAAGTTACACTTGAAGGCTTTGCAAGAGATAAGGAGGACAAACTACAAATGCAAGATCAAGAGGTTCACTGTCAATCCATTAGCTTGGCCTTGAAACCAAAAGAACTCGGAAGTACTAGACTTCTACAAACTACTAAGCTACATATACTGTATATTGTCACCCACTATGGAAGCTAAGCATTCCAAATAATAAGATATAAATGTACAGAAAAAGACATGTTAAACATATTTTGGTCGTGGCTTTAACTGAAATAAACAAATCTAGAAAATTAGCAATTAGCCAGCTAGCTTTTCTGCCTTTAAAGTCCACAAGAAAATAGTCTTAAGGTTGTTCAACAAGTTGGTTAACTCCCACTTATGAAAATCACTTGTGAAAATTCCACCCAGCATGGAAGTTCAAAAAAAACATACTCCACTCACCATCACTAATAGAGATGAAGAAAAAGGATAAAAGACTGTTCCCTCGACATATAGTCCAACCAAAAAAAATGAGTTCCTTCATTCCAATCTTGGATTCTACCCAAAACCCATGCTAGTGAATCCTACCCATTTCTTTGAAAAATATACCTTCTCCTAAACAGTTTATGCCAAAGAGAAAGCTTGTCAAAGATGATGCAAAGGAGATGTTCCAAAACCCAAACTTCCTTCTTCCCTAGACTTACAAATGCACTCCCAGCTCACAAAAAGCCTTCCCTAGGCTACAAGAAAGTTCATAAACCTCTGTAACCTCCTGCTTACATCAATCTTGGAGTTTAAAATGGTAAAAACTAGAAAAAGTACATTAAAACATTTGCACTCATCTAACTTCTACTAAAACGGATCTCAAAATCAAAACTATAAATCTATGAGGGTTATTCCCTAATGAAAGACCAAATCTTGACAAAGTCCATAAACAAGAAGAAAAATCAAACCAATCAATTGCAATATAAATAGTAAGCTCATATACCTTCTTGTAATCACTTTATATTTTTAAAACTAAATTAGCAAAGAAAATCACCCATGACCTTGAATCCATAAGCCACCCAAGAAAAGCCAACTGACTTATGTCAAGACAAATCAGGCTTTTCTATCGCTTATAAAGAGAACTTCCTATCACTCACGCTCCTCAAATGATAATAGTCCATAGTCCAAAATACACGTGTGTGGGAGTAAAGTGGCAACCTGTTCAGCCTTCACTGCCATGGGGATGAGTCAAAAGTAACTTCATTCTAATTGTACCAGTCTCTTACAGGTAGTCATTTGGGTGACAAGTTGGTACAGAATGGATGATTAATTACTACTGTTTTGACATATTTGCTAATCCAAATTGGGCTCTAACCATGAATTCCTCTGAAAATTTATCTAGGAAACTCTAAAAAAAATAAGTTTATTCTTGTATTAATAAATTAGAATTGTAATAAGTTCTCTTTGTGCTGTAAAAACAAATTACATGTTGAAGAGATTCATAGTTGAAATTAAACCTTGAGAGATAACAATAAAACATAAGAAAATAGAGGGTCATTTTATTTCTGTCTTTTTCTCTAAATAAAAATACCGCATTTGAAATTTTGTGATCACACTATGTCAACTTTAAGCATTAACATCTCCAATCATACCAGCAAAAACTATATGACTATGACCTTATGCAAAATTATTGAAAAAAAAATAGATAAACCTAGAAATGCAATCTTCACATCAATTTTGTGACATATATAGGCTCAAGAATAGTACATTCTTGTTGCATCATAACTGTAGTAAGTTGTCAACTGTGGTAAAGTTGCATATACAAAATTTCATGATGCTCAAGGCTGCCCCAGAATGAATTGACATATCAGAAAAATCAACTTCATGTCTTGACCATTGAAAATCAAGTGTTTTAAAAACAGTCTCTTCAATGTCTCTAATAAACTTTCCAGTTAAAACACACCTCATATTGATAAGAGAATCTAAAAGTTTGGCTTGACTTATAAATAAATCAAAAGGTTTATCAGTGTGAATCTCAAAAATATCAATACATATAATAATGCATTTAATAATTTATGGTAAAGGAAAATTCATTAGCACACAATGGCCTTGATAGGTGTTGTTCTGCAGTTTCTAAAAGCCATTTTATAATGGCTTTTCACAAAGTAGCACCAAAGCATGCAGATGATGGAGCAGCCTCGCAAAATCAGGCAAATCAGACCAACAATGCTTCCATGACTTAAAAGACCTCTCTGGAGCCTCAGCTCAAGAATCTTCTTCTTTTTAGCGAGAATTATCCCGATACAATACATCCATTTCTCTCCGTCCAAACATCACCGTCTTATATATCTACATCTATACAGAATTAATACATCTCCTAGACCCCAATAGGCATATATTCACTAGAATCCTAATTATTCCTTCCATCAAACAATATCACTCATTTGCATCAATAGCATCCAACCTTAGCACAACGCCACAACTCTCCCACCTTTGGAGTAATTACACAACAACCTCGAAAGTCGAAAGCAACTCTCTACTTTCCAATGTTATTCCATTGTACTAGGAACTCCAATTATTACAGGCCTTGCATTACAAGTAGTTAATACACTCTTATTTGTCAATACTCGAGTTCCGACATTCAATTGTTAACGAAATGAATCAGTACGCAAACCAACTAAGCTAATAGTAGTCTATATGCAATTAAAGTAGCATAATTTAAGCACATTTTAAAACTAATCTCAAATTTTACAAATTTCAACCTTCATTGAAAATTAATCACCCAAAACCCTAATTTTATTTCTTTTCTGTTCAGTAGGTAAGCTAAACTAATTAATCATAGTGATCTATTGAATTGATAATATGAACCCTAAACCTAATCAATCAACAAAATTTTTGTAAACAGAATAATTCACCTCTTAAAGGATAATCGATTTCAATCAAACAAACAAACAAACAAACAAAAATTTGAAAATTGGAGAAAGAAAGTTACCGGAAGTGTTGGAGAGAGAAGCGATCAATGGGGCGCCAAAATGACCGCAACATGATCGAGGACGCTGCAGTGAAATTGAGTAACTGTGCAGATGAAAGTGGCGTTTGATTGTGAATACATGCAATGATGCAATTGCAATTGCAATTTCTGGTGCGAAAATAACAGAAATAGGTAACTGTCAACTTTTTTTTTTTTTTTTTCATTTTTCTTTTGGTTTTTATATTGGAAAATTATACACAACCACTCCTGTCCCTCGTTGAAACATTTGAATTTGTATTTCATAATCCAAGGAAAAATATTAATTAAATTAAATTTTTAAAAAAATACTATTCTCTCTGTCCCATTTTTTTAACTTTATTCATTGTACTTCCTAAATTGCCCTTTAATTTTTTACATGCTTTGTACTTTTTCCCACTTACTCTCTCTAACTTTTATCTATAATTGCAGTTTTCAGTTTTCACCTATTTTATGTACTTCATTCACTTTTTCTTCCCTAACTTGTGTCTATAATTGTACTTTTCACGTTTTTTATGTACTTCATTTACTTTCTCCTCCCATTTATTAAATACCGTGAAAAAACACAAACAGGAACAATATATTGGGACGGAGGGAGTACATTGATAATTTGATTAGTGGCAAAAAGAATACGGGTCGGATTGTGCAAGCACACGTGTTGTCTCAGCAAACCTTATGCTCACATGAAACATGGCTAAACAAGAAAATAAAGATTCATATTATGACGACTCGTAATGATTTATGTAAACAGCTCATGCACAACTTGCCCACATGTTGTGCTACTAGGTCCCTTTTGTCGGTCCATAACTCATGCCATATTGGGTTTTATAGCGAGTTTGTGTCTATACCAGTCATCTTCAAATTGTGTCAACTCAATTCATACCCAACTCTTACAATAAATTATGAATTTTCGCAACATATTATAACCAATGATGCTTGATGTAGTGATAGAATTCCTACCTTAAGATCGAGATATTACAAATTTGGATTTATGCACTAAAGTCTTTTTGGAAAGGGTTTTTCTTAACCACTCCCACCCCAACCTATATGAACTTATTAGCTTGAAGGGAATGACCTAGCAATAGTAGAACTATAATTTTCTCCATGTACAAAAATTAAAAATAAAAACTTCATATCGAACATGATATGTATGTATGGATATCATTATTATTATTATTATTATTGCAACGATGCTTGATCATTTTGAGAGTATATGCAAATAAATTGTTAGTAATAGTATCATTTAATCACCTTTCCATTATTAACTAGTGTGTGGCACCGGGTGATGCCCCGAATTGCTAGTTTGTACTTGTTATTTGCTAATCATGTTCGACTGTTTTTTCTTAATGTCTTGATCAACATCTTGAAATTTCATAACTTGAAAAAAGATTTGTATTGAGAACCATTTTCAATATATGATATGTTATGATTTAAAAACATCAACAACTATCGACTCTTTAATAGAAAAATAAAATTATTATTTTTCATCAAATAAAAAAATAATACAGAGTTTGATCAAAATCAAAATTTAAGCTGTTAAATTGTCTTATGATCATTTGATAAATTGTTAGTTGGTATGATTTTAGGGAACTTTTGAACCTTGTTTTCGTTATTATTCGGCATCGATCAAAGTTCATTATTTATCCTATTTTTATGCAAATGTTGTACAACCCATGCTTCACGGGTTGTTTGTGTTTTTGATGTAATATAGCTATCTTTAGCACTATGAATGTGATCAAGCATGAGTGAGCAAGGAGAAGGGCAATCTTGGTTGATTGATCCATGGAGGAAGAAGAATGAGTGCCTTTAAGAGAAATGAAAAACTTTTGGAGAGCCTTGAAGGGTCGTTTGCATAAGTGTCAACTTCAACTGACTATAACTTTTGATCTACTCAACCTTTTAAAGTGATTCAAATTGGAGATTAAAGTTAGTCTCAAGAGCTTTCCAACAACTCGTCACAAGTCCATTTACGACAAAAAACAAATAAGTTAAAGCCCCCCGCAGTTAAACTGTCTAGGCAAGGAATTCTGCACGGACGTGTAACAAAATGGCACGTCCGTGCAAGGCCGCATGTCCGAAAGTTGCATATCCGTGCAGACCTGCTGGATTCTTGACAGTAGTTACTGCCCACTTTTTCACCCTTCCAAACGTCCGTGCCAAATTCGGCACGTCCGTTCAGAGCCTTGCACGTCCGTGCCAAATTTGGCACGTCCATGCAAGCCTGTTTCCGGGCTCTCTTCTCGTTTTCTCCGTCCTTTTTGTTTAGAGGGTAATATATATACCCCCTTGGCTCCCCTTGTATGGATATTCAAATTTTTAGAGCTTTTCTCTTAGTTTGTAATCTTAGAACATTAAAACTCTCAAATCATTAGTTAGATTTTAATTATTAGCTCGGAAAACTCAATTTCAATCATTGTAGAAGACAAGATTCCACCATTTTTGTTAAAGTTTGAAGCTTCTAGTAACATTCTCTTTCCTTACTCTTCTATTTTCCCTCATCTTAGTTGTTAATTACTTGCTTAATTCTTGTATGCTTAGATTGTTAATTAGCTTTGTTCTTAGTTTGAATCTATTCATGAGTTGCTTGAAATCTTTAATTGCTTTAACTTTCATGGATTATGAGTAGTCTAATTTTCTAGGGCTTGGGTAAAACCCTCAATTTAGTCACTAATAATTTAACTTGCTGCATGTAATAATTTGGTGATTGTGGGGTGTTAATTAGTTAAGCTTAAGTGGTTTCATTGTTAGTTCTTGCATTTGGCCAATGTTAGGACTATTTATCCAAGCTTTCTCAACGAAGGATCGAGAGATGAACCCGAGTTAGCTCCCTTGTGCTTAATTGACTTGAAATGCCATGAGAATAGGAAGTTCCAGTCAAGGGAATGTTTATGTCATCGTGATTATTCTTTAAAACTTGTTTTATGCTTTGCAACCACGAGAGTAGGTTGTATTCATGATTCAAGTAATCCCTTTCGCTTGAGAGAGTAGTTGGGTGCCTTAGATGACTTCCCCTATTTTATCCCCTTAATTCACCTTGCTTGTTGCATGCTAATTGTGATTTATGATGAAGTTGAGTGGTATAACCCGAGCCCTAGATTCCTCTAAATATTGTTAATCTCCTCTTAGCTTTAGTTGAATTGAACTAGTAGAATTTACTTAAGACCAAACCAATATCGACTTCATTTAGCTTATTTAATAGTAATATCTCGGTGGATGATTCAACGTCTCTCTTGGGTTCAACCCTTTCTTACCCTTGCTATTAGTTAGTGAGACCAAGATAGGATTTCTCAAAGTCACATTAAATGTACTATTGCTAAATGAGACTAAATGTGTTCATGTGTATCATAGTTTTCTCATTTATTTTTCTTTTTGTGTGTTTAACTTGTGATAGTCATTGCTAACATTTTCTTTAGCTTTGTTTGACTATGCATAACACGGAAGAGTAAGCAATCACCGCTTATTCCTGTTGACCCAGAGCTAAACAAGACTTTGAGAAACGTGAGGAGACTTTTACAAGGCGCGCCGGAGTTTTCCATTGTTTATTCGAATTCTAATCCGGAAGAGGTTTTTGGAACCAACGAAGACAACATGGGAGATAATCCCCCTCCACAACCTTTGTTAAGAGACTATGACCACCCCAACGCTTTCCAACTTCGGAGTGGCCTATTGTCTCCCCACCACAAATGCAAACAACTTTGAGCTTTCACCTCAACTCATCCGCATGATTCAAAGCGATCAATTCGTAGGTAGTTCTCATGAGTTTCCTTTTGCTCATTTGGACAACTTTCTTGAGTTGTGTAGAACCATCAAGCAAAACAACATTTCAGAAGAGTTCATCTGTATGCACATGTTTCAATTCTCCCTCCGTGATAAAGCAAAGCATTGTTTGAGAACGGTTGAAGAGGGATCATTGAGTACATGGGACGAAGTCACTAGAGCCTTTCTTGGAAAGTATTTTCCTCCGGAAAAGACCGCCGAATTAAGAAAAAAGATTAGCAATTTCAATCAAGACATTGATGAAACATTGAGTGAAGCTTGGGAGCGTTTCAAAGATTACACAAGGAAATGCCTCCTCCATGGTTTTACATCATGGATCACTGTACAAAGCTTCGATGACGATCTTACTCCTATTTCAAGGGCAAACCTTGATTTTGGGGCCGGTGGTAGCCTTAAAAGCTATCGGTGGACGATGCATATAAAATGATAGAAGAAGTGGCCAAGCATTATGCATATGGAGGTGATCGAAGGCAACCTCAAACAAAGAAGGGTGGAATCCATGATCTTAGTGCAATAAATCTTATTGCATCAAAGTTTGATATGCTAGCTCACAAGCTGGATTAAGCCAACCTCACACCCCCAAGCTCCTATTCACAAGCCATGTCTTGTGAGACTTGTGGAGGAAACGATCACTTGTCCTCTTATTGCAACTCAACAAATCAAGAGCAAGCGGCGGCACTTGGGAAAAGAAATGAGCAATACTCCCAATCCTACAACCAAAGTTGGAAACCCCAACAAAACAAGGGATAGAAGCAACACAACCAAGGCCCCCCACAAAACCACTACAACCAACCCCATTCTCAAAACCAACAATCTCCATATCGCCATCTTAACTAAAGGGATCAAAACCAACAAAGACCACAATATAACCAACCCACTCCTCCTCCTCCTCCACCTCCTCAAAAGACTAGCCTTGAATCCGTCCTTGAAACTTTCATGACACAACAAGTAAGGAACAATGCGGATATGAAAGCAAACATCCAACAACTTCAAGCGCACAATAAGATATTTGAGAGCCAATTGGCTCAAATTGCACAACAAGTTGGAAGTTCATCCTCCAATCCTAGAGGTCACTTTCCAAGCTCAACGGTAGTGAACCCAAAGGAGCAAGCTAAGGCTAATACTTTGAGATCGGGAAGAGGTTATGAAGGTCCGGTTATGAGTGAAGAGGAGCCACAAAAGAGAGATGAGGGAGTTGTGGTGAGAAGTGGGGATGATATTGAGAATGAGGTTGTTGAAGTTGAGAGAAAAGAGCAACAAAAGAGTGATGAGGAAGCCACAAGGAAAGATGAGGAAGATGAAGAAAGAATAGAAAAGCCCCCCATGAGAGTATATAAGCCCCCCATTCCATTTCCTCATAGAATTGTGGAGAAGAAGTTGAATGAAAAGTTTAAAAAATTTCTTGAAGTCTTGAGAGGACTTCAAGTGAACATTCCCTTTCTTCACTCTATGTCACAAATGCCTAACTATGCAAAATTCTTGAAGTATCTTCTATCCAACAAGAGTAGTCTTGAAGAGAGTGCAACCATCTCCCTTCCTAAAGGAGGTGAATGCAATCATTCAAAACAAGCTTCCCCAAAAGCTTGGTGACCCCGGTAGCTATGCAATACCCGTGAAGATTGTAGATTTGGAAGACATGGATGCTTTGTGTGATCTTGGGGCAAGTGTGAGCTTGATGCCCTATTCTATTGCAAAGAGCTTGAATGTTGGAGACTTGAAGCCAACTAAAATGTCCTTACAACTAGCCGACCGCACGATTAGGCTACCTTTGGGAACTCTTGAAGATGTGCCGG